GCAGAGGCAGGTGGATCTCTGTGAGTTCCAGGCCAGCCTGGTCTACAAAGCTAGTTCCAGGATAACCAGAGCTACACAGAGAAACCCTGTCTCAAAAAAACAAAACAAACAAAAAAAAAAAACCACAAAAACAAAAAACCCTGCTGATTGTGTGCTAGTAACCCAGGAGCAGGAGGAGCTTAGGCAAACACACGAAAATTAACCTATGTCCCCATTATGCATCGGATTCTGAAATAATGTGAAACCACGCCCCAGTTCCCTCCCTCCTCACAGGCCTATCAAATCGTGTGTTTGCTTGAGCTGGCAAGTAGAATTGGCCACGAGTACAGGAATATGCACACACACACACACACACACACACACACACACACAGCAGCCCCGGCTTAGGTGTTACAGCCACGGGCTTCCCTACTGGGCTGCTCGCCCAGCCATCATGGTGACTGTTGGGAGCCTCAGGAAAGCTTAGCCGAGTGACTGACAGGAGATATGGGGGCCAGCAGGAACCAGCTCTGTCCTGGGCGCTGGGGAAAGAACAGACTCGGAGCTGGGAACAATCTTTTTGTTTACTTCGGTGTTTTTGAGACAGGGTCTCAGCCTTGGCCTGCCTGCCAAGTGCTGGGATTAAAGGTATGAACCACCACCCTCAACAAGACTGGATCTTAACGTTGCCCATACTGGCTTTGAACTCCTGATCTTCTTGCCTCAGTCTCCTGAGTGCTGGGAATGTAAGTTTGTGCTGCCGTGGCCAGCTTGGGCCCATTCTTGCACTGAGAACAAAAACATTGGAGGGTGACTCGGTGGAGTCTCCTGACCTAGAAGGAACCTCTAACCGGGGACATGGTTGGTTCTTCTCTCTTGTGGGCAAACAGGGCTGGGGGGGTGGAGCAGACGTAAAGGGGGTGCCTGATCCTGGGTTCCCTACTCAGCACTTTCCTCTATCTGTGCCCTTATCTGGTGGCTGGGCAGCTCCTCCTTATCTTAAGGCCTCGGGGCTGTGGTTGTCGATGCCCCTACCCACTCTCTGGGGCTGGTGGAGTACAGTGATGTAGCTATGATCGTGGAGAGAGGAGTCCCTGCGTGTTTGGGGTCAGGCTGAGGTAAAGTAAGAACTATTTCATCACAGGGAGGAGGGCTTTGATTGATGTCCCCAGACTGACATCTGATAGAAACTCTCCCTTTTGGCTGGTGTGCAGATTGCCACAATCACCTCAGGAACACAGTGGAGGTGTGCAGGCTTTCAGAACATACTTTATTGTAAGTAATTGACTCTGATTTTGTTGTTGTTTTTTAAGATGGATTTATTATCTATCAGAATACAGTGTTCTGCCTGCACGTATGCCTGCAGGCCAGAAGAGGGCACCAGATCTCATTACAGATGGTTGTGAGCCACCATGTGGGTGCTGGGAATTGAACTCAGGTCCTCTGGAAGAGCAGCCAGTGCTCTTAACCTCTGAGCCATCTCTCCAGCCCTTGTTGTTTTTGAGACAGGGTCTCACTGTGTATGTAGCCCAGTGTAGCCTCTCTCGGAGCCTCCTGCCTCCTAATGCAAGTCTGTTAATTCCTTTTCTGTTGCTGTAAGACACCGTGGCCAAGGCAACCTAGAGAAGAAAGAGTTTACTTGGGTTTGTAGTTCCAGAGATAAAAGTAGTCAGTGGTGGCAGAACAGAGGTGACAGACAGGCTTGGTGGCCAGGACAGCAAGTTGAAAGCTCACATCTTGAACTGCAAGCAGGAAGCTGAACACTTATACTGGAGACGGTGGGAGACTTCAAAGCCCGCCCTCAGCGATGCTCATCCTCCAGCCACATCTCTTAAGTTGTTCAGACCACCACACTGAGGAATCTCAGCCCTGGTGGGTTCCCCCCCCTTTTTTGGGGGGGGGTTAGGATTTGAGACAGGGTTTCTCTGTGTAGCCCTGGAACTCACTTTGTAGACCAGACTGGCCTCAAACTCAGAAATCCACCTGCCTCTGCCTCCCGCATGCTGGGATTAAAGGTGTGCACCACCACCACCACCACCACCACCACCACCACCACCACCACCACCACCACCACCCCGCGGCTCTCTGGGCAACTTTCTCGTCCGTGAAATGGGCTTTCAGGAGTACACTGAGTAAATGGTGGTGCTCCTCTTCGTTAGTTGTGGATGTTGGTGTAAAGGCAGGATGTTCTGGCACAAGGACATGCCTGTGGGCAGGAACAGCAGGCTCACTGTGCCAGCAGAATGGTGCTGGCTCGGGGGGCGGGACTACCCTTTTCTAAACAGACCTCCCGTTGTCGGGCTCCTGGGCTCCCTCCCCAGCTTTGGTTACTTCCCATGGTCACTGTGGTCCCAGACATCTTCGAGCGTGTTGCTTTTTGTCTCCAGCTGGAATTTTCTCTAGGGGATCGTTTTTCCCTGCAAGGCTGACTGGGTCAGAGGTGTGGACATTTCTGTGCCTTGCTGCATTCCAGGCGGCATGTGCCAACTTTCCATGCCAGGAGCGTGGCTTCCTAAGAGCAGGAACCACCACTGCCTAACTGCTCTTCCGTTTGCAAAGTGCCTCCCGGTGAGGCCCACAGCGTCCCTTCAGGGGAAGTGTTACTTGATCCCCATCTTACCACAGTTCAGAGAAGGTCAGAGAGGCTGCAAGGCTTGCCCCAAACACACAGCTGCCAGGCAGGACAGGCAGAGGCCTGTTCACACACACACACAGGAGGGACCACGTTTGCTACCTTCATGTTAGATGGAGAAACTGCACACTCAGTGTGCCCAGAGCAGTGGTGATGGGTTCTGCATTCAGGTGCCTGGAGGCCTTTAGGTCGGGGCCCAGCCGCCACCCTCCTGCTGACCAAGTGTTCCCTCCCCACAGGTACTGGAAGCCTGGCTGCCGCAGTGGAGACAGCCTCAGGACGCCAGGCCCTGGTGGTGGGCAAACCCAGCCCCTACATGTTCCAGTGCATCGCCGAAGACTTCAGCGTGGACCCCACCCGCACCCTGATGGTGGGTGACCGTCTGGAGACCGACATCCTCTTCGGCCACCGCTGTGGCATGACCACCGTACTCACACTCACAGGGGTCTCCCGCCTCGAAGAAGCCCAGGCTTACCTGGCAGCTGGTCAGCCCGACCTCGTGCCTCACTACTACGTGGAGAGCATTGCGGACTTGATGGAGGGGCTGGAGGACTGAGCCCACCTCCCCCGTTCCCTGACCCCATAGACGGAGGCTACAAGCCGTGAGTCACGTCCAGCACCAGGAGCTCCCTGGCACGGGTGGTGTCTGAACCCCGGTGAAGGGAAGCTGGGATCCAGGAAGGCTTGTGGGCCCTCATACCCCTCCCGGCAGTGACTGGACACTCTGCTCTTCAGAAGCTGTCCCCCTATGTCTTGAAGGTTCACTCTGGCCTGACTCCACCAGGTGGCCTGCCTTCCTGTCCTGTCAGCTCCCCTTTTGAACTCTAGAGGGGCCCTGAAGCCAAATGAGAATTTTCTCCATCCTGAGTACTTAAGCTCCTCCCCTTCCCTGGGCCCTCTAGTGCTCTGTTTTTGGGTCCCTGTTGACCAATCAGAAGTCTAGGGAGCTCCAGCCACTCCTGGCCTTAACAGGCCTATGCAAGGCAAACTGCCCATAGTGACTGGTACGATAGTGTCTCACAGGGGGCCCTTAGTGGACCAAGGAGGAGCTTAAAGAACACCTTGCATATCCTGGAGCCCCAGAGCGCCAGTCTAAGGCTAGGTGACCTTGACCTCTGGGTGTCCATGAGGACAGTAACAATCCACTGGCCTCTTACTTCCCAAATAGAACAAGCTACAAGTCCAAGGCACAGTGGCTTTTTGACTATCCCAGCCTGACTAGGTCAGCCAAGGGCCCAGGTTTTAGCAGGGCAGGGTACATAAGACATTTGCCTGTACGTACAGCACTTGGGAGGCCGAGGCAGGAGGATTGCTCTGAGTTTGGTGACCTGAGTTGCAGGGTGAGACCTCATCTCAAAAGCACCAACTTCAATGTCAGCCACCTCCAGGGACTGACCAGTGGGCCCCCTGGCCCTGGGTAGAGTGGAGAGGCCCCCACCATAGTACCGTCCAGTATTGATGGTTGCCACAGCTTGCAGGGGGGCCCTTGTGCCCCGCCCCTTGAAGTCAGTATTGGCTGTACCCTCTCCAGCTGCCCGTCCCCAGCTATTTATTTGTTTGTTTATTTATTTATTTATCGTGTGCCAGTGAGGGTGGGGGCAGGGCGGGACCTCCCCGCCACCTCCACCCCTGTTGTAACCAGTCCTTGAACTTAATAAAATGTGAGTGGGATTGTCTGCGCCCCAGTCTGCAGTGGGGAGTCCTGCCTGAGCCTGCCTCCCTGAAGTACCAACACCCCCTCCCACCCCCGCAAGAAATGATGCCTCCCCTTCTGTGTTCTCAGCACAGATGCGCTTTGACTCCTGAGCTTCTAGCAACTCTGAGACCTTAGGTGTCGGTTTGTTTCAGTCCTTTGAAAAGCCAGTGTCGGGGCAGGGGAGTTAGTGCAGTTGGTAAAATGCTTACTTTATAAGCACAAGGGCCAGAGTTTGAGCCCCAGGACCCACAAGAAAATGTCAGGGGAGGTGGAGACAGGTGGATCCTGGGGCTCACTGGCCAACCGTATAGACTATGGCTAGTGAGAGAGCCTGTCTCAAAAACTAAGTGGATGTTGCTGGAGGGGTAAACACTTGAATGTCTCTGGCTGCCACACACATGACCCACAGGGACATGTAGACACATAGCCAGGTGCCTGCACTGCTCTTAGGAAATAGCAGGTATGTGACACTGAGGGCTGGGCTGGGAAGGGGGCTCAGGTAGATCAGGAGCCTCCTGTGCCTCGGGTACCAGCACCATAAAGAAAGAAGAAATGTGATGTGGACTCGGACCAGGGCGAACAGCTGATCTTTGCTTTGAACTAGAGATAGACATTTGCCCAGAAGGCTATAGCCCCCTCCGGAGAGGATAGGAACAGGAGGGCAGTGGATGAGGTCCCTACCCTCAGGCCATCTTGCCAACCCCCTCCTTAACTTTTAGATGATATAGCATTATGTACTCCTTAAAAATCTGTCAAGACTGCAATTTCTTTGAAGGATGACTCATTCCTGACTCCCTGTCCTTGTTCTGCAGTTTATCAGAACAGATACTATGAATCCACAATCCATTTGCTTCTCCATCTCCCATGGATGATGCATTTCACACGCCGCACATGACACCAGCATTCCTCAGGGCACTGTGCAGTGATTTAGAGCTTCAACCTTCATGCAAAGTGCAGGACCTTGTCTCAAAAACACAAGGAAACTACAGCTGGAGAGAGAGCCCAGTTAAGAATGCTGTTCTTGGACAGCTCAAAAACACCTGTAACTCCAGCTGCACCGGATCTGACACTGTTCTGGCCTCTGACAGATACACATGCACATTAAAAAGAAAAAAACAATAATAACATCTTTGAAGCACCAACAGAAGAGTGGTTTAAAAGACATGAAGGCCCAGCATGTGAAGGAAATAAGAACTCCTCTATACTTTTGTTTACATACTGTTCAGGGGAGAAAGAAAAGATACTGCTTGGCCCTCAGGAGCCACTGGGCTGACTCACCCCTAGGAATACTTGGAAATTCAGAGGAAGAAAAGCCCAGCCTACATTGTCATTTTCAAAAGTAATGGAAGGCTTGAGTCCAGCTAATATTCTATTGAGTTTGAATACAGTAAACATTAATTTCACATTGCAGTAATTTTGCTTTTTTAAAACGACTTAAGTACTGGGCAGTGGTGGTGCATCCCTTTAATCCCAGCACTTGAGAGGCAGAGGCAGGGGGATCTGTGAGTTCAAGGCCTACAGAGGGAGTTCCAGGACTACACGGAGAAACCTTGTCTCAAAAAAAAAGTTTAAGTTTGTAAGCATTTTGCTTGCGTGCGTGCGTGCGTGCGTGCGTGCGTGCGTGCGTGTGTGTGTGTGTATGATGTGTATGCCTGGTACCCATGGAGGTGGGAAAAAGATACTGGACTCTCTGGAACTGGAGTTACAGGCAGCTGTGAGCCACCATGTGGGTCCTGGGAAGAAGACACACCTTGGAGGATCTCTATGCCTGTCTATGCTGAGGTTTCACTAAAGGAAAACCAACCCTGAATGTGGGCAACATCATTCCACAGGTTGGGGACCCAGACTCACGAAGGAGAAAGGAAAAGTGGAGCCCAGCATTCACCTCTGTCTGCCTGCTGACGGCCAACACAGTGTAGCCAGCGGCCTCACACCTGCCGCCATGTCTTCCTCACCAGGACGGGCCGTTTCCCCTCAAACATCACCCTTCCTCTCCCTTTGTTCCTTACCGTGTACTCACAGCGACTAGAATCAGCACAGGAAACTGCTGTTGGAAGTGGGGCTACCGTTGTGAGAAGCCTGTGCATATGGTTCATGGACCTTCTGAGCTGGTTTATGGGAGGAATGTGGAAGAGCCCGGAGCTGCTGACTAGATATCAGATGCTCTAAGCAGCGCTTAACGGGCCATTCTGGTCCTTTGAAGACCAGAATACAGAGAGAAAGGTGATTAGTAAATACCATGTTCACTCACAAGGTTTCAGAGCGGGATGTGGACTCCATCAGGAACTGGGCTAAAGGCCGTGCGTGTTCTCTTCTAGCCAAGAACCTAGCCACATGTCCTGAAAAGTTGTATGAGGCTGTACTCGAAAGCAATGGAGTAGTTTGTTCAGAATTATCAAGACTGCACACCATCCAAACTGTGGCATGGTTGTGGCTCCCCGTTCTTAGATCTCAAGTGAGTAAGAGCAGAAGGTTGCAGAGAAGAAGCTGGGTAGAAAGGAAACAGTTATAATGGTTCAAGAAATTAGTGCCATGACAGAGAGACAGTACTGTGCCTGAGACAAAAGGGAAGATCCCTTGGGAGCGAGACTGCAGCCTCTGAAGGAGACTCACCTTGGGAAAATGCAGTCTTGAACCAGGTGGTGGCGGCCCACACTTTTAGTCCGAACACTCAGGAGACAGAGACAGGCAGATTTCTGAGTTCGAGGCCAACCTGGTCTACAGAGGGAGTTTCAGGACAACCAAGGCTACACAGAGACTCTGTCTCAAAAAAAAGAAAGAAAAAAGAGAAAATGCAGTCTTGAAAGCGGTCTAGCTGAGACTACTGGAGGGATCCCCTGCTCAAACACCACTGCTAGGGAGGGGGTTTCTAGGTCCACCCCCTAGGGCACACAGAACACAATACACCTGTGGCCAAGGGGCCCAGGCCATGCATCAGGCTGTCAGCAGAACTAGGCATCGTATCCACAAGCTGCTAGTTTTTCAAGCACAAACTGCAAGTCTCCAGGTCATGGAGGTTCCAGGAAACTGCCAAGCCAGGCAATGTGTAGCAGGGTTGGCGGGAGGTCCTAAGAGGCCATTATTACTTGAAGCTATTAGAGTGAGGCTTGAGTTAACCAGCGCTGTTTTCTGCTGAGAAAAGCTTCAGGCCACAGAATTGGAGTGAGTGGGGTTACTGGAGGATGTTAGAGCCCAGGGGATGCCAGACACCTGGCAGGAAGCTTCTGGGTCGGTATTTTCTCTGATGGATTTCAGGCTTGTTTGCATCTGATCCCATGCTTCCCTGTGGGGATGGGAATGTTTACCACTGTATACTGGAAGCAACTTGCTTTTTAGTTTTTTCTAAGAGTTCATGGCTAAGGTTGTCTTGAGTCTCAGGAGAGGTTTTGGACTTTGGGCTTTCGAACAGTGTTAGAACTGTTTGGACTTCTAGAGATGGACTAAATGTCTTTTGTGATAAGAGATAAATCTGAGACTTTGGGGCCAGAGGTGAAGTGTTGTGTATTAAAGTGAAGCCTTTGAGTATCAGGTTGACGAGAATTGGGTTGTCCACCTGACTGGACTTAAAGGCACCTAGGCGACACATCTAGACGACAGGGCGTACCTGTGAGGATGTTTCAAAAGAAGTCTTAACTGACGAAGCAAGCCCCATCCTGAATGTGAGAGGCACCCTCCCAGGGGCTAGGGGGAAAAAAAGGAGAACGTGAGGTGAATGCCAGCATTCATCTCTCTCTCCCGGAGTGCAGACACAACGTGACCTCTGCCCCCCACTCATCCCACTCTGCCTTCTTTGATAGGATGGACGGTAACTTCAACCGTAAGCCAAAACAAGCCCCTCACATGGCTTTTGTCGGGTACCTTTGCCACAGCCAAGAGAAAATTGAAATACAATGATTTCAAAGTAATGCGCTAAAGCTTAGGCCTGAGCCCTGGAGGCTGGGGCTTCTGATCAGAAGAGGACCGACCCCAGGTGGGGACCAAACTGGATGAGAAGGTGGCTGCCTGGAAAGCTGGCACAGTGGGCGGCCCCAAGGAGGTGCTCTGGGGGAGGGTACCAGCACAAGCTGGCAGAGGGTGTCAGGAGATGGAGGCAAACCTCCCCCACACACACACCCTTCTGCCCTTCATAAAGCCATTTTTGAGGTCCCTGGGTCCACGCTGTTTTCCTCAGCTCCAGCTCCCTGTGAGAGCACAGCCAAGCGCCCTCCCTCTCTAGTCTCCACATCCTTAAACTGCAATATAAGATGTGGGGGAGCAGGTCCGGCATGGCTCTCTGGGGTCCCTCCCTGCTCTGTCTTCAAGGACTCCGTGTGGGAGCCAGCTGGGTGGGTGCCGTGGATGGTACCCATGTGCTCCATGGCTCGCTTCCAGTGCTGGCTGAAAGAGGTACAGGCCGCGTCAGGGCTGGGGAGGAGCTGGAGCCGGGAAGGGCCTTGCTGGCTGGGACCTGTGTGGACGAGCTAAGCCCAGATCCAAGGGCTAGGCGGCAGGACAGAATTCCAGAGGACTCTGCTGGCTGCTGCGGGACTTGATCTGAGGGAGGATCTCCAGGGCCGGGCTTTGGCATGGGGGAAGGAGAAGGGAGGAAACATCCTCAATACCTGCAACCCTCAACTCGGCCAGGAACGATTGACATCATTGCTGCTTTCTAGGGTCTGGACGTTATTCAGAACCGCCAAGGCCCTGGGCTGCAGCCCCCAAATCCATCTTGCCCCTGCCCCTCCTGCCTCTGCCTGGGATCTGGCCACAGCTGCTGTTCCCTGGGCACAAGGCACAAGTTCACCGGGTGGGCAGACACTAGGGCGAGATGATATGCTCAGATGAGGTAGGCTATGAAAGCAAGGCGCCGGGCCTTGGGCCCGACAGATAAGTGGGTGCCACCCCCACGACGCCCTGAGGACTTCAGGGAGGGCACAGAAGGGACTTTGTCTCTGTCCGCCCTGCCTTAAAAACCATAGGGCCGGTTCCAGGGGATACTAGCATCTGGCAAATCCACACAACCCAGGTGGGCGAGGCTCTGCCAGACACGGAGGAAGCTAACCTTGGAAGAGGGGACAAGGGGGCTATAAAACCTAAACTCAGCTAGGCATAATGACTCACACCTGTTATCCCTGGCAGGCCTGCTTCAAATTCCAGACCAGCCTGGGTTACACAGTAAATTCCAGGTCAGCCTGGGCTACAGAGTGAGATGGTCTCAAAACCCCCATGAGCTCCATTTTTAAAAAAAAAGGTCACCTATGACCTGAGTCCTGCCCTGCATTACCCACAGGCAGGAAAGCAGGGCTTCAGGGCCCAGTTGCCAATGGAGATGCTGAATCCGCAGGCTAGAAGCAGAAGCTGAGTCCCCAGCCCCCCGTCAGGAGTCTGACCCTCATACCATGTTCCTCCATGGCCTGCCTGTGCAGACTGGCTAGAAGGGTCCTCCCCACTCAGTCGGTTCCTGGTGCAGGTCTTCCTACCCAGTCACGACCTGGCCGGGGCAGCTCCCAGAGCCCTGCGCTCCCAGCACCTGGGGTGGTGGCCTGGCAATTGCCTGCCTCATCTCTGGTCCTCTCCCTGGAATTCTGCCTGATGTGTCCAGTTCCTGATGTGGCAGAGGGGCACACAAGGGAAGAGTCAAGGACCTGGGTGGGGCCCTGACAGTCCCTCCCTGTGACTGAAGGCTGGGGAGGCCCCACAGGAAAGATTGAAGCTTCTGTGGTTAGTCTTCCTGGTAGCTGCCTGAAGGCGGGGCTCGGGACTGATAGGCAGCCCCAACCTCACCCCAGAATTGACAGCCCTACAGGCTTCCCTCTCCTCCCATCCTGGGTGTGCTTTCCTCATCTGGAAGAAGGAGCTAGAGATTGAGCCTGGGAGGGCAAGGCAGATGGCTGGCCTGGCCTCCAGATGTGACTGACTCATGGTTCCACATCTGCATCCCTCTTCCAAGATGACAGTTTCAAAAGGACAATGGCAACATGGACTCCCTATACTCTCCATGCCCTCCCCATCCGATTCCCCAGTGGGAACTGAGAACCCCTCTGACTAACCAGAGATTTTAGGGGATTAGAGGGAGCTCTGGCAGCCAGCAGGCGGGGCTTGGCCTCTATACCAATTAAAGAGATAAACAGGTGGTAGAATGCTTGCTTGCTTAGCATGGACAAAGGCCTGCTTTCAATCCCCAACAAGACACAGACCAGGCATGATGTCACAAGCCTATAATCCCAGTACTTAGGAAGCAAGAACAGGAGGATCAGAGGTTTAAAGCATAGCAAGTTCGAGGCCAGGCTGCGCTGCATGAGACTCTCTCAAAAGAGGCTAAGAGGGTAATGGTAAAACACACAGATTTAGTCAATGAGGCCACACTGGGAAGGGGAACAGATAAAGGGATCCAGTAACCCCAAGTCTTTTTTTTAGGGTGCTAATGTGTGTTGGTTTTTGAGGGGG